TCACCACTTCTATTCAACATTGTACTGGAAGTCCTAGCCAGGGCCATAAGGCAAGAAAGGGAAATCAAAGGCATCCAGATTGGTAAGGAAGAAGTCAAACTATCCCTATTTGCTGATGATATGATCCTATACCTAGAAAACCCAAGAGACTCAGTCAAAAACCTACTGGAACTAATTGAGAGATTTAGCAACGTGGCAGGATATAAGATCAACATCCAAAAATCAGTTGGATTCCTCTACACCAGCAAAGAGATTGCTGAAAAAGAAATAAGGAAATCAATACCGTTTACAATGGCTACCAAAAAGATGAAATACTTGGGAATAAATCTTACCAGGGACACAAAAGGCCTATACAAAGAAGACTATAAAATACTATTTCAAGAAACCATAAAAGATCTACATAATTGGAAGAACATACCATGCTCATGGACAGGAAGATTGAACATTGTGAAAATGTCAATTCTACCCAAAGCAATCTTACATTCAATGCAATTCCAATCCAGATCCCATCAACATTCTTTAAAGATATGGAAAAACCAATCACTAATTTTATATGGAAAGGAAAGAGACCTAGGATAAGCAAAGCACTACTGAAGAAGAACAAAGTAGGCGGTCTCACACTCCCAGATCTCAAAACCATACAGCCATAGCTGTCAGAAAAAAATCCTGGTATTTGTACACTGACAGACACATAGATCAGTGGAACAGAACTGAGAACCCAGAAATAGATCCATCAACCTACAGTCAGCTGATTTTTGACAAAGCGGCAAAATCCATTAAATGGGGCAGAGAATGTCTGTTTAATAAATGGTGCTGGCAAAACTGGATATTCATTTGCAGAAAAATGAAACAAGATCTGTACCTCAAACCATGCACAAAACTAACTCCAAGTGGATCAAAGATGTAAATGTGAAACCTAAAACTATAAAAGTTCATCAAAGAAAATACAGGGGCAAACTTAGGGGCCCTAATTTATGGTATAAACAGACTACTAAGCATAACCCAAGATGCACAAACAACAGAAGATAAACTAGATGAATGAGACTTTCTCAAAATTAAATTCTTATATGCATCAAAAGACTTCTCCAAAAGAGTAAAAAGAGCACCTGCTGAACAGGAAAAAATACTCAGCAATGACACATCAGACAAAGGACTTATTTCTAAAACTTACAGAAAATTCGAACACCTCAACAACAAAAAGACAAACAAGCCCATTAAAAATGGACAGAAGACATGAATAGACACTTCACCTAAGAAGATATTCAGGCAGCCAACAAACACATGAAATGTTGGCAATCATTAGCCATTAGAGAGATGTAGCTCAAAATAACGAGATACCATCTCACCCCAGCACTAATAGCAAAGTTCAACAAAACAGAAAATAACAAATGCTGGTGAGGATGTGGAGAGATTGGGACTCTCATACAATGCTGGTGAGACTGTCAAATGATACAGCCTCCGTGGAAATCAGAGTACTGATCCCTTAAAAAGTTTGAATTAGAAATACTATTTGATTCAGCAATCTTATTACTGGGTATATATCCTAAACAAGTGAGAGCCAGAACACAAATTGATACACGCACACCTATGTTCACTGCAGCACTATTCACAATAGCAAAGAGATGGAAACAAACTAAGTGCCCATCAACAGATGAATGGATAAACTGTGGTACATACACACAATGGAATACTATGCAACCCTAAATAACGTAGAATCTGCAAAACATCGCACAATGTGGATGAACTTGGAGGACATCATGCTGAATGAAGTCAGTCAATCACAGAAGAACAAATACTGTATTAACACTATTGTAAAAATCAAGGGCAGCACAACAAAATACATAAAAGGGTTGCTCCACATCCTACATTGGTGAGTAGCAACTGGGGTCTTAAAACCTTTCAAGCAGCCATCTAAGATGCAGCTAATGGTCTCCCAGCGTCAGAAGGGAAGAAGAATGCATACACACACAAAAAAAAAAAACAAGGGCATTTAGAAGCAATCAACCCTGGGACATGATGGCCTTGAGACCAGAAGAACCAGATGGTGCCCAGCTACCAATGCCAACCACTCAGGAAAGGATCAAATCTGGAGATCCTGGATAGAGTGGTAGGGAAAACATGGAACAAAATCCAAAAACTCAATAATGACCAGAATTCCTGGTCAGATGAAGGCTGGTGAGACTCCCAACACTATGGCCCTGAAACACATTCGGCCCCTGGAATGGAGCTCACCCCCAGGGACGGGCTCTTACCCAGTGGTTAGCGAGATGCACACGCAGACCACTCAACCCAGGGTGCTGCACCCACACACTCAATGGTAGTACCTCCCCTAAAGCAATAAGCCATGGGGCGCCAAAGGACCAGCATTCAAACTGAGAAAATGCAGACAAACAGGAGTGCATGATTATGAGGGGCACAGGGGGAGTGTTGCAGGGTAGGGAGGGGAGGAGGGGGTTGGACATGGCGAATGAAACTAAACGTACGCATGACTTTGAATGTAAAACAAGCTCTTAAAAATTAAATAAATAAAGTAAGTCTAATTAATTAAGGTCACTGTCAGTGTGACCAGAGTCACTGTTAAAAAAAAAAAAAAAAAAAAAAGGACAGGTTTATAGATGGAAGCAAATTTTCTCTGATGGTTACCAGAAATGGGAGGAGGCGGGAGACGGGAGGAAAAATTTCTATATAGATTCAGAAAAAAAAAATTATATATATGTGTGTGTGGGTGGGGGGAATGTATATATGTATACATATATACGTGTGTATGTGTGTGTGTGTGTGCGCGTACAGGAGCTCTGGTGGTGTAGTGCCTAAGGCACTTGACTGCTAACCAGAAGGGTGGCGGTTCAAACCCACCAGCCACTCCTCAGAAGGAAGGTTGGACAATCTACTTCTGTACAGGTATCACCTCGGAAACCCAAGGAGGGGTCACTATGAGTCGGGTCTGACTTGCCAGCAGCAACAACATATATATAATACACACACACACGCACACACGCACACACACATATATAAACCAAAGATTGTCAGTGGTTTTACCAGAAGTAGGAGTGATGGGGAAGGATGAAGCTTTTGTTTAGGGGGCACTGAGTTTTTGCTTATAGTTTAGAAAAGGAGAGTAAGGATGGTGGTACCACACAAAAAATGTCACCAATGTCCCTGAGCTGTAAATGGGGAAGTTGTTACGTTGGCAAATGTCTTGTGTATGTTTTCACCACAATAAAACTAAAAATTTTATAT